AAAAAATATACCTTAAAGTCTATAATAATTTTAATTTAAAGTTTTAGCTTAAAGTATATTATAAGTCGGGTTACTTTTATGATTTAATAGCGCTAAGTAATATATTATTATTTAATCTTCTTTACTTGCCCCTCTTTAATAATATATATCCCCTACTTAATTATTATTATAGATAGAGTTAACTGTAAGTTTATTACTGCTTTATTTAAGAATACTCCCCTTTAAACTTAAATTATATATAGATTATAATAAATAATAGTTTATTATAAGATAACAGTTAAGATAAAGAAAGCCATTAGCAAGTTCCTGTAATAGATATAAGTTAGTTATATAAATTATAGTCTTTATTAGTAATATACTAAGATATAATAATACTAAATTACAGCTATAGTCTTACTACAGGACCTGCCTGCAGCCCCCTGCTTATGGGAATTTAAAGAATATATTTAATATATATAAATTCACTAGAGTAGAATGCCTTAAGAATAGACTAGTTAAAGAACTAAGTCGATAATTAATAATATAATAATATTCTCCTCTACTTTAATACACTCACTCTATCGTGTTCGCGCGTATCTAACAACACTTGGCCGCCGATCTAATAGAATATTACCCCCGGTTAATAGTAAGAATGCGGCAATACATAGCCTGTGGTTCATGCTTACCATCAATGGATCGGCTTCTCTATGCAATCTGCATACTACACCTCTATGATAAATGTCTGCGATCCACGATATGGTGTGAATTCAGCTACTGGGTTTGATTTAACGACGTGTTGTGTCGAGATGGTATTCATTCTTATCTGAACTGGCTGTGCTGCCCTCTGTTGTCTGCGCTAAATCGCCGACCGTCGCCCAAGTTCATGCTTGCGTTTTGCTGAGATCCTGGATGGTCAATTCCCTTCTAGGTTCTCTCGGCCGGAATAAGCTCTTAGCCATAAGTCTCGACTGCAAATAACACTTCGAGATTAACAGAGCGTTGTTCCACGACTAGTCCTGCGATCGATTTATGTACCTTGACTTTGATCCTTTTCCTCCTTGTTTCGTGCACTTACAGTAAGCTTTTATCTTCCCTGCAGCCAACTTCACAACCCAAAAGGTTTTCTATCGCTAAGGGTGGCATGGATGCCTCGCTTCGCACTTATACTTCGTAGCCATTGGGCCCGGCCACGAATTCGGCGTGAGACATGGATTCAGCTAGCCAGAGATTGACTCGGCTGGCTCAAAAACTAAAAGTAGGGTGAGTTTACAATGATACGGAATCACATTTCCCTTCTGGAAAACAATGAAAAACACGAGGTTAGATCATGTTGATTGTCTACCCTGGAGAGTTTGACCCGATGTAACGTGACGTTGTCGGAGTTTTTGCTTCATCAGCCTTATACAGTTAATAGATATATGTGCTTAATTAAGCTTTTTATATCACATAAGGGAAGCAAGGCCGATGGGCCGCCGATTGACAGGTGAAGAGAATGTGTCCAGCCTCGACAAAAAAGAAGCGACACGGAATCAATAAATTACAAAGCGGCCCTATGCTCTTCTTGAGCCCCTGTAAATAACCTGAGATCCATCAGCGTTCAGGGAGTATAAAGAGATCTGTACCCTTTTGTATTTGTTCCTTAGTCGAGGAAGCAAGACGGGGAACAAGATTAGTGTATAAGGCTAGTGGCGTCCAGACTGCGGAGTTCCGGTAGACCGGATTACGGGTAGTAGTTTCATTACCCAATGGACATAGAGGCTGCTCAACCTGCCGGGGATTGGGCAGCTTCTTCTACCTTCTCCCGATGATTCTGTCTGAGTGCTTTCTTGATAACTTTACCTTTGTCATTTCGCGCCGCACGGTATGCTTCCCATGTCCCTTCGGTACGATACAGGCTGTGTCGCCGACGGAGTCGTTTTGATTCTGCTAAGGCTGCAGCGCATTCTTCGTTCCACCCTGGCTTCGATCTCTGTGACGGAGCCGTCTTCGGTACTGCTTTATTGATAGCTGCCGTTATGGCTGCCATTACTTCTTCCACATATCTGTCCAAAGCTGTCTTTGTTTTTGATCTTCGTTGCGGCGGAAGCTCCTGTTATAGCACGCAAGTGAATGTCTTTTTGTCTAACGCTTTCCAATTTCGCCGGGGCTTAGCTATCATTTGATAGTGTTTAGGTCTAATGAGGTGGTGATAGGTAGGTGGTCAGAGTTATGGTCTATGTCTGTTTCGATTTCGCACTAAATCAGTCTGTCTATAAGGCCAGCCGTCGTGAGGCAAAGGTCTATGGTCGTTCTTCTGTCACGCTCTTTATACGTGATAGTGCCTGGAGCAAGGTTGCTCGTGAGACAGTAGTCTTCTATGATTGTGGTGAGCTTAGCGGCATCAGGGTCTGCTTGCTGGACCCGATTACCTCCCCATAGCTTGTGGTGGAGGTTGAAGTCGCTAATAATGATTTGTTTATGATGGGACGATCGTTCTATGGCCAGCTCTAGGAGTGGAAGCGTGCTTCCTCTCTTGGTTGCAGTTTTTGTTGGGTTATAGACGTTGTGTATTACAATCTGTTGCTCTTCTTCTGTTCCGAGTACTAGGTTCAGCGAGTAGAGATCTCTGCTTGCCTCTCTAAAGTGCTACCTGGAGTGATCGAGCCTCTTATTGATAAAAAAGCAGACCCTAGCTGGGAAGTTTCGATCCTTGTCTGGGTAGTATAGGTGAAACTGGTCTTTGGCTGGATGGTGAGTTGTCGTATCAAATGGGTTCTTCTATGGCTCCTGGATGGCGAGAATGTTGTATCGCCCTATATCGGGATCTTGCAAGAGCGTGGCCATGACTGTGTCCTTTGATTTTCTAACGTTGTACTGTAGTATTGTAAGGGTGTTTCCTATTAACATTCTTGATCGTTAACCTCCATTTGCTGGCTATGCTGTGTGATCTGTCTGTTGGCGTCTAGTGTTTCCAATACTCTCCTGGAAGGAGCTAATGTTTGTCTAGGTCGCTGGCTCCCTATGTTCACGACGATCTCGTTTCTGGGATTATCGGGTGTTATCTGGTTGTTGCTGCAATTCGCTCTTTTCTGTTGCTTCTTCGTCGGCTATCTACTCCGGGACGAGTTGGCGTCCCGTGGCTGGCCTGGTTCTAAGGTGGGTCGTCCTGTCCTGGCGATCGGGTTTGATTCATTTTGCTGATCCCTTGTTCTAATTCCGGTCGTGGTCCTGGCGACAAAGTTTTCTAGTTCTAAGTGGTACCTGGTACCTGGGTCTCGATTTAGAGGCTGCTTTGGCCTTGTTCGCCTCCTGTTTCCTGGTAGGGCATTGGTTGTTCCAGGCTTCGTGCGGGCCGTTGCAGGCCGCGCATTTTCGCGGGGCGTCCCTGTCGCTCTTGGTTGGGCAATCCCGGGTGGCGTGATCTTGCGCGCAGTAGCCGCATGTTATTGTTGCTTTGCACTGGGTTCCTATGTGGCCGTATTTGTGACACTGGAAGCATTGTCTCACACGGCACTGTCTGTCATAGAGCTCGCATTGGAATACCTCGCCTTGCCAGATGAGGCCCTCATCGATGACTTTATTTGCGTCTTCTGGTCTCGTGAACTCAACCACGACCGAAGATGCTGATTTGGTAGACGAAGATCTCGTCGGCCAGCCTATGTACTTGATCTCTGCATTTGGTATAAAGGGCTTGTTATCCTGAAGTATCCCATCTCTGATGAGTTCAAAATTGTCCATGTTCATCGAACTAGTGCGTACGCCATGCACCAAGACACCGTACGTCGGAATGCGTACTGTGGCGCCGTTTCCGATCCTTTGTTCCCAGTCTTCCGCAAACTGTCTAAGCGCCACCATGTCCGCTGTAGTGGCCGTCTTGATGCTCAGGTCACCGCTCTTAAGCTGATTGGAGGATATTACCTTGATGTTCTCTATGTGTTCGTTGCTGCTTTGCTCAATTGCGAGGTCTACATGTGACTTCAGGCTTCGTGGGCTCATCATTCTGATGTTGGCTATAGTGACAGGGTCTCTGATGTTGATGATAATCTCACGCAGGGTCTGAACAGGTGACGCTTTCTGGTTCTGTGGGTTATGCATGCTTGCCACTAGCCCTCCCCTCGCCAGCACGTTGGCGTAGGTAGGCATGGCGTTGGCTTGGTTCTGCTGGCTTACGAGCTTCATGTCTCTGATCATTTTCATCGTTGCTTTACCGATCTCTGTGGCCTCCTTTGCAGCCGCTTTTGCATCTGTCGTAATCTCCGAACTGCGCTGGACTTCTTCCATGGTTTGCTCAGCTTTGGTGTTTCTTTCATTGAGATCATTTTTGAGGCTGTTGATGTGTTGCGCTAAATTTTCGGCTGCGGTTTTTATTTCAGCTTGGCCGTTTTTCACGGCTTCGTAAACGTGACCAAGATCGGGTGTGCTCTGCATTTTGACGATGAGGGTGAGAGCTCCAATAAGTGCAACTCGAACTCCACGGGATGCGACAGGCAGACGATCTCCGTTGTCGATGGCTGACAGTGCCTTTTGAAGATATTTGCTCAAATTTGTGGCGTGCTCTCGGTAATCAGTGGGCCAAATTTCGTCCTGGGGCCACGGGGTCGCCATGATGTCTGAGTCGCACTGGGCAATGCGACCGACACTGGGCTATCCAATTAACCTGTCGGAACGGTGTTGCGGCGCTGTAAATAGCTGTTGTTTTCAAAAATTTCGTTCTCGCTGGTGTTGATGTTTTTCTGGCTAAGAGAGGATCCTTTTAACATCAGTCAACCAATTTGATCGAGTAATATCACGTGCTACTTTATCGGCTTCATAAAATCAGTCATCTGGTTGCCGCCAGCATCGAGCCGCAATTTGGATATGTGCATTAGCTGACAGGCCAAACTCAGTAGCTGATTAGGTATACTTCCGATAAGGCTTCTTTGCACTTAGATAAGTGGCAACTGAAGTACCTCCTAACTAGCGGGGATTTCTTGTAGTACCTCTATAAATGTCATCAGGGACTAGACCCACCTGAGCTTACGGGCATTGTAACTAAATATGTAGCCCTGACGTAAAACTATGCAATCTATTGATGCGATTCTGATGTCACATTATTGTAGTAGTATTATCACCTTTATTTATCATTGAGAACCTCCGCAAGCTCAAATAACTTATCTTGAACTCCTATAATTATTTCATTTCTATTTTTAGTTCTCACTAGAACACAATGGCACCTAATACCAAGGATAAGAACGGAGAGTCAATTGAAGAAGGCGATCACGTGTGGACGCGAATCCGTGGCGGTAGACACGAGGGAGATGTGCAGAAGATTGTGACAACTAAAAAAGAGGCTGAAAAAGAAGGCGTTAAAAATCCTCCAAAGGTAAGTTTTACTCGGTTCTTCGTATTAGCAGTTAATTGATATGTCCAAATCAGGTACTGTTCGAGGATCAGCATGGTCACAAGGTTGCGCATAACCCAGGGACCCTAGAGCATAAATGAAACTACTTCCCAAGCATCACACTAATAAACTTTGCATATTAATATATTATTACCTTGAAGTCGCCATCATCATTGCCCTGCTACCCTCCATTACTTATCGCTCTGGACGATTACAATTAGGGCTATTAGTGAAAGGCCAAGATCGACCAAGGGTACAAGGATTTGAACACTCTCTCCTGAGGGCCAAGAATCTCGATGCTACATAGAGTGTACTGTGAAGGGCTACGAGATGTTTTTCGAGATCCAGGAGGCTTCTGTTTTACACTCATGGGTCAATTGCGAGGGGGGAAGGATCAGAGCTATTAATGGAAAAGTGTGTTTGTGGTTTAGAAATAATGCCCCAGCTTGTACCTATATACTTCAAGTCTGAATAATTCGGCATAGAAACTCTAAGTACTTGTTATATAACGTCTATATTCTTTCCTTTAAATGTTCGGAGCCTCAAAACATTAGTGAGGCTACGGCCGAATGATAATGCTTCACTAGTGAATAGCACGAAGCTTTCGTACATCGACAGAAGGATTCAAAGCCTTCAATACCTGATGCTTGCCAATCCATAATTGGGGTCTAGCCTATGTGGTCTGGTCTTTCCATTTTCCTCGAAACGACTGATGATGGGTCTTAAACACCTCTGGTGTATATAGGGCTAACGACAAGCCTGTACGGCGGAAGCAACGTTACAGAATACAGCCTCATAAAGCCACAGTAGTACGAGTCTGCCACTTTTTGTCTCAGTCAACTGAGGAAGAGGCGAGACAAATGGTAAATCCAAAGGGAAAGCGGTTCTGGATCCAATTGTAGTGTACAGAACTCAGTGGGAAACACAGATTTGCCAGTTGCCTCTCTTGTTAGAAAAAGGGACTGAGATGGATAATGGGAAAAGGGAAACAAAGAAGGCACCTTGAAGTTCTTCATCTAAGCCCCGGTTTAGATGCTGCAATTTGTTTGTAATGTGATAAATTAGACATTGAGCGAAGCGCGCACTAGGGTAGAGGGGATCGATAAAGCCCTATATTATTGGTCATTCTCATTTCTTCATTTAAATTTTATTCATACGTCGCGGTGTGCACGGAGGCGTGTACAGATTATAATCCTCTTTCTTTTTCTTTTAATTGCTACTGTATTAGTCTGGACCAAAGGTGTAGCTTGGTGGCTGATGTGTCGTGTCTTACAGACGCACCGCCCGCCGCCAACGCTGCTTGCCGATCTCCCAGCCCCTTCTATTCTCAATGCACGGAATCTGGGGTTGAAACGTCAGTACCTGTGATTACAATTAATCTCGCTCGTGTAAGCACCACTGAATACGCCAGCTCGTGCCGAAGACAGATTCCCTCTTCAACAACTAGCACTCTCCAGCTACTTTTATTGAATGCATGACGACCGCCAATATCGCCGATGCTGGTGCTAGACGGGTACCACCGTCTATACGGATAAGATAAAAATTCAATTCAACGCAAATTGACGGCACTTACGGTCGATCTGGGCTGATTAGATGGAATGAGAAATTGCTTGCTCGCTGTGACTGTTATCCTCAAGTCAGCGCAAGCAGGACAGCTATGTATGTTTCAGTCATGTGGAGACAATTGCCAATTCTGCAGGAATCAGAGGTTTTCACCACCTTTTCGTGTCGGCCGGGCTTGGTATCTGGGTATAACACTCCCATGCCGGCTATCTACCATGTATGTACATGCGGTGCGGATCTCTGCCCTGAAATGTGACCCAAGATTGATCGATCGATCGATGCTACCCGTATTCGTATTTTGGGCCTTCTTGTTAGCGGCTGCCCAGGGCCAGGGGAGACAAGACAAGGTCTCTTAAGATGTGATTGCACCGTCTCCAATTGGCCTCGGATGCTCCCTCTTCACGTTTACGAAAACGATGCCTCTTCCAATTAATAGATAGTGAGATAAGAGAAAATATTCCCCCTGCATCTTCCGCTTTCCATTAATATTATGTATTGCGGCTGTGCTGGAAGCAGACTATGCAGGCAGGCTGCGGCTTGGCGTGGGGAAAAAGCAATATCTTGGCCACTGTAATTCTACACGTTTGAGGGAGGTTACAAGATTGAGAATTTCCTTCGCTTTACCTGCTGTCTTGCACTGTTTGACATGTTATAATCCCACCATGCAAAACTGTCTATGAGTCATTCTCCAAGCGGCGACTTTCGGTGCAGCCAGACGAGTAAGGTTGATATCTGTTGTGCAACTATTAAATCTCTTCGCAAGTCGACGGCCTGTCTAGTGACGCACTTTGCACCTGTCACCAGCCAGACAATCCTGGAGAGATATATTAGCAAAAGCACTGAGCAAACAGAGAGTAAACATAAATGAGTCAGAATGGCTGTGTAATCTTCGTTAGCTCAGCGGCTGGATAGGTTTGACTCCCCTTCTTTTATTCCCGCTCTTCTCTTCTCTTCTCTTCTCCTCTCACTTTTCCCCACTCGTTCTGCTACTGTTCAAGGGCATTACCCACGCACCACCAACACGCATTCCTGTTTCGCTCTTATCTACATTAGCTTGATCTTGCTCAAGCCTGCCAATAGTGAGTCACGCACGCACGCATACTCTGACGCCGTCTTTGTCTTGTCACTAACAGCTTTGCTCATCACAGATCACCGTACACAAAAATGCCAAAGTTCATTGGAGGCTATGCTCCTCTTAAAAGTTTGACGGCACCTGTGCCGGAGGGTGTAAGAGTGTGAGATTCCAACGGGCGTATAATCATTGATAGTAGGTAGTTCTTTCTCCATCGAGCTTGGTTTTAATACTGTGCTATATTGGGCATATTACGTCTGATGCTAAGTCCGATTCCTCTCGCAGACAGCTTCAAAGCCAGATGTTTACAGCCAACATAACCAGCCCGGTTAACATCTCCCAGGAAGTAAGAGCACCCATGGCAGCTGGCATACCTCCGGCCGAAGTGTGTGAGCTGCCAGAACCTCGGGAGCCGGAACCTGATGAGCCAGAGTCTTGTGAGCTGGTAGGATGAGGGCCAGCGCCGGTGCTGTCGGAGCTCGGAGCGGAGTAGGTGACGTCGGAGTAGTCATAGCCAGTGGTCTCGGTAGCATCAGGGGCCAGATTCCCGGTGGTCTCGGGGGTTGGAGCCTCAGTAGTAGAATCTTTCGAGCTAGAACTAGGTGACTCATTTGCCCTATTTTCTTCACCATTCTTAATCTCGGGACATGGTGGCCATTGGGCAAACTCTGTACCCTCGACGGACGCACACGTCTCTTCCGGATAGTACTGAACACTACTCAAATAAATTAGGAAATATTAGTAAACTTTAATTAGGGCATATGCATACCAATAGCCGAACAATATACCCATTATAAGATCAATTCGTGCCTCCGCAGCTGATATGTCAATTATGTCGTCGGAGGCCGACACTCCGCATTCAGTTATACAGAGAGATACTGCGGACGCGCCTTGACCTTTGCAAAGATAACTGGCAAATTTCTTTGACTGCGTGTTGCTGGGGCCATCGGCGATGGCGTCGTTAAGACAAGGGGAACACAATGGGTCTACGCCATCAAAGACACCTTTATAGAGGCGAGCGCAAAAGGAACAAAGAGCGCACCAAATGAGATGAATTTCATCTTGAATTGATATTAAAGATGGCTGATTGTCGATTGTTGTGCTGAGGGACGCTGAGGGAGGGAGGGATCCAGATAATAAATACATATGCGAAGGTAGCGACAAAACAAAATAGAGACGCCACCCGAATTTGAGAAATGAATCCTATGCAGCCCAGCAAATTGTGTGCGCCACTTTTGATCATCTTTTCCGGATTAGATGGTAACTACTGGTTTCCTTGGACGCCCGGGCAAGGCATACAGGGAACACTTTGACCTTCATCCTTGTGAGCTTTTGCAACCCTAGTTCTTTCATTCTACTGCAACGACGAGCTCCGCAAGGACAACCTTTAGCCCCAAATTTTAGCCGGGTTGTCCACCTAAGCATATAAATCTAGTTTTAAAGCTTAAATTACGTCCGAATTTACGTTGGTACGACGTAGAATATACTTGGAATATGATAAAGCCAAGTACAGCCTGATGAACAAACCCGTATCACCGTTTAAGGGCCGTTGAACATTCCCAGGTCTGTTAGCGCTGCAACAGCTTGTATATTAGATCCCGCATTGTTTTGCAAATTACTCACTATATGTAAGCAGCCACTCTACAAAATAAATTGCCGCGCACCATGAAAACCTCCTGGGAGGATGTGGGGCCGCGGAGGTCCATACCAGCTTTTGCTCAGCTGTATCTAGCTTACGTGACTTATGCAAGAGAACCCTCCGCTAATGACACTCCAGTAAAGGCAGAGTCTCATACTAATTGTTCATGAAAAGCTTGTTACTTATTGAGTAATTCGTTTTCTGTAGGCGTAAGCCTCAACTGCTCAGCCGCGCACATAAGATAACGCCGGCTTGAAAGTAATCCGCAACCTGTATTTCCACCTAATCAGCAGAATTTCACTGTCCCATTTATGCAGTGAACCCCCCGCTTTGCTAAATGGATGTGCTGTTTCGTGAGAGCGGATGGCACTACTGAAATCGAAGAGTCCTATCTAAGTCATAATTTGCTAGTGAGGGAACAGTAACCTGTGGGGCTGTTGACTTTGGTGGTGCCAATAATGTCGTCGTAGTCCTGTGGGGGTCCATCATCCATGAGTTCAAGGATAAGCGGCATGATGTAGTTATTGAAGATAGGCTGGTTGAAATTTCTGCTACGTAATAGCTAGGTAGGACGCTCAGGGATTCTGGCGGGAGGCGCTCTTTGTTGGTCATTAACAGGGGGCGTTTTTGGTAGGGATCGAAGCGGCGGGGCATCCACAGGTTATCTGACCGGTCATAAACTGGCTTTTCTCATAGGTATAGGATGTAAGGTTCATGTTGGCCTGGTTATCTCGGGAGAAGAGTAATCAGCAAGTTGAGGGTGGTATCGAAATACCGGTGCCTTTTTCCAATTAGATCATCTAAATCAAGACGGCTAATGTGCAGTATAAACTATTCTGTCATTTTTAAGTGTGAAGTTACGCGGGAAGGAGAGTAGTATTAAATTCACCTTTATACAGTAGCTCGCGCTAATATTCTTCCAGATGCACTTGGGGTGCAGCCTCCAGTCCTCGCTCTTTGCTATTATCTTACATATAGGAATTTACACAAATGCTTCGATCTCAGTTTTGCCCCAAAAATTCTGCAATCCCGGATCTGAATTACCCAAAAGGCTTTCCCGCGTCTCTATCACGGGTTAGACTGCAGTCTGCCCCGCCCGATGCCTCCGCACTCCGCTTTTCAGCAGCATTTCGCGAGTCTCGCCTTCGGCTCCGGAGTAAATTCACTATTAGTGACGGATATATGGCCTAAAGTCACCTATAATAGAGAAAATGCTTTCCTAGCTTTCATGTAAAGGAGCAGGTGTAACGGGTTGGTTCCTAACTGTAGATAAACTAAGCCGTACTAGTAGCTCTTTTATAGCTATTATAATAAATCTAACTTTATAGTTAAAAGCTATTCCAGAAGATACAGCCCCAGCTCCGGCTTTCATTCCGCCTCCAATCCCAAGTATGCCAATCTTCACCATGCTATGCTTTTCCAGTTCTCGGGCTTTCTTCCCAAAATTTTGACCTAAAAGCATCTACTGGAGAGCTTTCTACCAGGCTTGCACTCTATTAGTCCCTACATAGAGCCTTACCGTGGATAATTTACTCATAGGATCGTCTTTCCTTATAGACTCGGCTACACATGCGATAGAGGAGGAGCATGTCTGAAACAACTTCTTCTCAAATTTGTAATAACTAGAGGACAAGTTTCAGTGTATCTCACGTCTTGATCTCAGCATCAGACCCGTGTCCCTAAGTCCTATCGTCAGGTACCGCCAATAAAAGTCATTCCAGAGACAAATCAAGTATAAGCTTTCAGCTTATATTAATATCAGTGAAATATTTAAACCAGGACTTAATAGCTTCGATAAATTCGAGCTTCGAACTCTAATCAAGACGGCCGCGTTTTATAATCTCTTTCTTGACTTCGTTTACCCTGAATATTTGTTATTGTGGCTTATGCACCTATATACAAGCCACAACAGCCAACCAGTTATGCATCGACAACGCCAAGCAAACCTGGAAGCCCAGAAAATGGAGGTAGGCGATGACGGTTAATACCTTGAGAGTATCTAACCTACTGAGAATATTGATATCATTCTAATTACGTTCTTTCACGAAGTACTTCTGAGATGACAAATAACATGATGGTCAGGTGTTTGATAGAAGATGTCGGTATTCTTTTGCTAGGATAGATCCCAATATCCTTTACTAAGGAAAAAACATCGGTGAGGTCTCTTGTCTCCGGAAATGTGCAAAAAGCTCCCGGTACTCTGAAGCGTGGTCTTGAGTATTGCTTCGGGCAGCGAATGCAACAGGGGCTCTTCGCGGATTGACATGGGCGATGACGAGGAGGGCGACAGATTCGCAGCCAGAGATATGAGTATTCCTGCACTATGGTAAAAGCCAACCTTATGTAACAAGCACGGTAGTAGTCAAGCTTTTCATCTCGGACATTGTAAGGTTTCTCTCGTGATTTCTCCACTTTGTCACTTCATGCTCGTGATTCTATCGTTCAGTAACGTGTATTGATTGCCTCCTTAATCATGAATCGATGGCTGGTGAGGATAACAAGTCGATTCTTCTCGAAAAATAGCAGCTAAAGTCTGCCCAGTCCTACTCGGCTCCTGTAGCAATAGTGAAGCATGAGCGAAATTGGCTGACACTAACTTCTTGAACACATCCCGGGCCTCTTGCAGCTTTATCCTCACATTGTCAAGCTTCTCTTGGATAGCTATAAATTTGTCGGCATTAGATTACAGATCACAACCAGGTAAATTCTCTACAGCACAGTAGGCGTAGGCTAGGTTATTCACATAGCGGGCCTCTTCTCAAACTGGCAAAAGGATGCAGAGGTTCTAGAGTGCTAGGCTCCATTGAGTATATTTACCATCCCCAGAAGGCTCCCAGGACTAGGCCGAACACAGCTTCTCTCTTATTAAGAGGGCCGTGGCGCATAGACAGTCTGCTAATCTTAATCTCCAGCTGCGCAGCGAGATCTTGTAGTTGCGGACGAGCTAGCTGTGAAATCGATTGCTTGTCTCCTAGAGTGGTTTCGAGTTAGTCGTCGTCGATGGAGATGATCTCAGTGTCGTCGACTGTCGGTGAGGGAAAAGATGGATTATCCACAAGGTTGCGGTGAATTAGCGAGATAGAATGGCGGTACTAACAAGTTAAAACATTATCATTTGCAAACAAAAGTCAGTGGGTTGAGTGGGCGTGAGAGTCAGGATAAGATGACGCGATCTAAGGTACGTCGGTGGGCATACCAGCAAGGGCGATGTAGGGATCATCATTATCATGATAAACATCTTGCTCAGAGGAGACAAGACTGTCGCGATGCTCGAGAGCTGGTGTAAAGCGACGACCATTCTCAAACGAAGGAAGAGATTCAACAGCGGTTCCAAGCTTGAGGCGCTTGTATGGAGAAACTTGCTCCAACTCCTACTCTGACTCCTACTCTGGATCGTTCTGTTGATTTCTGGCATCCATTTCAGGAATCTGAGCGTGCTCAATACATATGCTAAAAGAACGAAGAGCTACACCAGCCTTCTCCTCAGTCAGGACATATTCACCATATGCAAAAGTTGCATTATGGAGCTCACTACCCAAATTGCTAGAGAGAAGGGAGACAAATTCCATACTAGACCGTAAACTTTAGATAAACTTTAGAATCGTCATAAGTAGTAGTGTAATACTGATTGAAAGAGTCTAAGTGATATAGAGCATGAATGTCAGATACCCCTAGTGCTGACAGCTGCCCCAAATCCTATTATGCCATCTGCCCATCTTATCGCTCAGCGCGGCGCAAGTTGGCTTTATCAACAGGGACCTGCCGCTGGATGCCTTCAATCTTATACATTTGCTTGAAAAGGCCGTCCAGAACCATGAAGAGCTCAGGCTGCGGAAGTTCCTGCAGGTTGCGCTTGATCATGTCGGTGGTGGTGATACCTTCCGCGGCATCGGGGGACTCGTTCACAACTCTTCCGATGTAGCCTTTCACCTTTTTTTTCGCTACAGTCAATACGCTTGAGCGATAAAGTGTAGCTGACACGCGGCCCTGGCTTAGTTGGGCTTTATCAGGATCGGGGTCAGGACCAGGATCACGAGTTTGGCTTTCTGTGGCATCCTCCTCATCGACTGAGACGTTTATGGAGGGTCGGCGGGGCGTCCCAAGGGCCATCATGAAGACTTCCCTATGATGAATCCTGCGCATGTGACGCTAGTGTTCATTTTGTCTAGGATGTTGATATCAGTACTTTTGGACATGCGGTGGTAGAGGATGTACGAGTAGGCAGGTTGTGTTACGTCGCGTTATGTCGCGCTCAGCGCGAATGGCGTGAGGGTTGAGTGTCTTTCGAATACTCCTAGGTTATGCTTGCATGGCCACATGACCACTTGTTCCAGCACACCTGGCATCAGCCTCAGCACAGGCCTTAACTCTAGCAGCTTGAGCTCCAGCATGGCACCAATTCACACTGTGAATTACGCCGTAGGTTAGTTCTTTTTGACGCACCTTTTGGATCATTTACTGCATTGGTACCCAGTCGCGTTGTTTTATAACTCTTCTATAAGACCAGTCCTGATTTGTAGGTTCTTAGTCGCATATCACCTGGAGGAACTCCGGCTCTCGGACAACAAGGAACCGGACTTGAGGCAAGAAGGCTTGTATACGGTAGATGCGGGGTTTCTGTTGTCGCATATCAAAAGCCTCAGTCTCTCAAGCCTTCACTTTACTATGTTTTTACTTTAGACCCGGAGTTCATAAACCCCGATGCAATTCAATTGAAATATGCTGAATAGTATAGACAATTGGCACAGGGTTGATATAGGTCTGAGCACGCTTCATTGCAATGTCCAGGGAAACGGGGCCTCCCGGTGGCCAATTTCTCTCCTTCTTGCCAGACAACCAAGACATGGCTATAGTGTGTGCTGTGCGCGCTCTGGCTTGCTACGAGCCAGGTACATAGCCCATCGCATAAGCCGACAGCGACACACTCTCCTTGCAATCATAACACAAAGGCCCAGGGAGGAGGACGGTCATAATTTTGCTTCTTACAGACAATCTTGCATACCGACAGAAAAGCCAAAGCTTACTGGCTGGCATTCTGTGGTTTTAGATCAGCAGCAAGGCAAGCTTAGAAACCAAGAATCGTTTTGAACTGAGAGGCGTCGAGACCCTTGATACCGGCAATTATGGCGAGTAAGATTTGGCGGAGAATGGGAATGATTGGGAGAAGCGGCCAGTACCCCTGGAGGACTTTTTAGCTATATCCTTCTCGGATTCGATGACTAGGCCTGAGTTTATTGGAATACGCCATACCCTGTACATTCTGGTATCTTCTAATCCCCTGCCAGTTAATGTCGCCCTCGTAAGAGAATCGGAACTTGGCGACCGCTATTATCCAAAAGGAATGTAAAGAAGCTGCAATGTACTGTGAAACACATACAAGGATCTCAGCTATGTGCTCCCTGCGGTACGCCTGTCGTGTTCATTTGCACATGACGCTGCGGATCAAAAGCAATGTCGATATGATGGGTGCTATGCATGAAGAGCCTTGACCTCACTATCGCTAGCTAGATGTTTGTCTTGATTCTACCTTGTTAGATACAGTAGGTGGGTTGCATCAGATAAAAGGTAGGACCCTGCAAGTACTACCTTTGCCATATAACGCACCAGTCCTGCGGTATCTGATCCTCCTCGAAATAACAGGTCTGCAGTGGACTGATAGCGGAAGGGTATGATGAGGTCTTCGCACAACTCTGACAGGAGATGACCAAGGGCGCCAGAAGTCAAGCAATTGAGAATTACATCACTGCAGTTCCTATCCTGCTAGCAATGACCAACTCAAAGGACATGTCTACGTACCCCACGGTAAGTCCAGCTATGCGCAACAGTTCTCTACTTAAAACTTGGCTCGTGATCGGATGTAGTCAGGCAAAGGCTTATGGAACCTCGTTCAATGTCTGCCATTCAGTTGCTAGCCGCGAGTAGTCAGGTTGCCATCTTCAACGCGATCTGGGGAACGCCCGCGCATTAGATTCGAAAGATGTAACCACTTGAACAACCGTGAAGCCATAGTCGGTTTGGACTGCTGCAATTATAAACTTAGCTGAAAAGCCAAGAGGGGGCCTGACCGGGTGTTAAGAACGTCAGACAGGACACAACTGAGACATCTTTACAGACATCTTTACAGAGCATCTTCTGAATCGCGACATTCAATGATCCTTCTGCTATCCACAATGCATTTGACTCACAAGACGGATTTCGATGCCGTACTCGACCTCCAAAGTGAGCCCACGCTCACTCGCAACAGCATATATCAACTCTTGGCTGCCTAACGATTAGCAGTCTTGCATCCCCGTGATGGTAAATCCTGGCCACTATTAGCTGGGTCGGTCACCAAATCGGTAACAAAAGCGTGGGTTGTATTGAATAGAGGAGTAATCGTTGGAGAGACGGAAAGCTGGGCTTAGGCGGGCAGCGTTTTGATGAATTCTGGAGAGCTTGGTTGAGCATATGAAATCGTAGATGCGTGAATTTGTGTAGTGTATAAGTGAGTGTTTGGGTGGAATCGGTCAAAGTTATCTTCGATCTACTAGACTGTTTGGCTGAGCCTAATGTTGAGCCTTATTTCTGATGCGGGTTGATGAAGCTTGGTTGTCTTTAGGCTGAAGAGCAGGCTTAGATATTACTTCTTAGTAGTATGACAACTTGGTAGAGTGTCTATGACTTACTTAGTGGGTGAATAACACAACGCTTATCTGTCTCTTTGAACGCTTGATTGACCTTCCCTATATTACTGATATCGCCCAATAAAGCTCGTTTAACGCGTTACTGGCGGCGGTACTATTGACTGTGGAATTCTTTGTTTGTAGACAGCCTTGGTAGGCATTGATAGCTTATAAACTTTGAGATCGGCAGCTTGGCTCTCGGAGATGCATCGTGCCGCAGTTCTCGCCGCAGTTCTAGTCATTCTCGTTGTCAGCGAAGCGTTCACGAGTGGCCCGAGTCTGCTAATCAAGTTATATTAGCCAATCTCAGGTCGCTCCAGTTATTAATGTGTGTTTTGTACTCCTTGCACCACTGTGACTGCACTTTTTGCCGACGCGACGTCTCGCGCGGGTTGCCTAGACCGCGGTTTGGCATGAATGCTAACCACGGCGGTAAGGTAGCATAGCTTTGTTTAAGATGCCCTGCAAGCCGTATGAGGGCCTGCTCGAGTTCTAACTTATCGGATGGAACGGATCAGGGGTCTTATGAAGGACAACCATGCAGCTTTGACTTTGACTCCGGTGCAGTATTATAGCTGTCTGGCCTTGGCATATTCAACAAGCTGCCACGTCCTCTGAATCACGCTGTCGAAACAAGTGTCACAAGATTCCTCACCTCCGACGAGGCGATTTGACTCATCGGTGAGCGACATGGTAAGAGCTGTGAGCCCGCCATATGTAGAGAAGTCTGGGCTGGAGGACGCGGAGGCATACAGCAAGTTAATTCTAGGCACCGTACAGATCTCCTTCTTGATTCCTTCACTGAGCTAAGTAAGCTTTGACAGATCTGTTTCAATGCAGAAGTTGCAGAACCGCGTAAACGCTGTACTAGGCATCTCATCACATCTGAATTATACTGGAAATGGACACGGTAGTTTTGAGACGTGAGGGTTGCAAGCGGTCTTGAAGTACGCAGACCGCGTCGTCGATCACGAAGTATCTTCCACTACACAGAGCCAAAATCACATTCCTCTTCCAGAGTATAAAGTAGCGACAAGCAGGCTTTGAAGTTGGCTTAGGGGTCAATCATCGTGAGAATCGAGCGGTCCTGGGCGACTCTTGATCATAGGGCAAGCATTGTCGAGTTGCTGAGACGTAATGGAGGCAATGATGAGCCTTGGACTGTTTACTTTACCATTTCCATCAATTACTGATGTCTACAAGAAGAGGGAAGCCGAATTAGCAGCCGAAGACGGCAGATCGGCTATTTCCGCGAGCCAGTTAGACGCGATGAAATCTGCAAGACCTACAATATACATTTCTCCAGAAGGAAACGTTATCGAGTTTGGAACTTCAGGAAATTTGAACTCCTAGAGTACGGTTTTGGATGATGAGAATGATGATATAGAGAGGGTTTGATCTCTTCAACAAGACACTTGGAGAAATCAAGATTGCTATTAAAGAAGCTGCAGAACGCATCAATGTCTAAATTCAAGTTGTCGATAAAAATCGAATAACATGAAAGAGCGTCATTTACTCTTTGGCCCTTGATAATTATGTATGAGGGCGACTCGATAGAGAGACGATATTTAGGGGAACGGAGAGGAAGACATCGTTGAGAGGGTTCGGCGGTAGGTCTAAAATGTTTAAGGGAGGGGGCGTCCTTCACAAGGCATTTGTACATGAACTCGGACTCGGGCTCGGGTTCGGGCTTGAGCATAGCGGGAGACATAGCGTTTGATAGGGAACGAACGTCAGCTGATGGTCGTGGCTATTTGTCAAAGAATCGGAAAAGGGACAACGACGGGGATCTATCGCGAGCTTGGGAGAGATTCAGCTCTGGGTAAATGTTAGTTTGGTAAGGGTTAGCTCGATGGGACAAGACGGATGTGTGGTGAGCAAATGTACTTGTGCCCGGGGTTTAGTATAATAAAGGCAACGAATCGCAACATAAGCCAGCCAAGCATTCAACTTTGAGCGCTCTTAGGCCTTGTGACATGTCTCCTTCTTGCACAGTCGCATCGTAAAACTGGGCGTGCTAGGTCAAACCAAAGGGCTGCTGTTGAGGAATGTGAGCTCGGAGACGGTGACGCGAGATGCGCGGAAGAGAGGCACCTTTGTTGTTCAGTTTGAGTTGATGGAGAGTTAATGGAGAGTTAATGGATCCGCAATCAAGTGCGCAAATAAATGCCCAAACTTGACCATAATGCAGGGTAGAAACGACCAAATGTGAGTTGGAGCGGGTCGGCCAGTCACATGGGGATACATCTATCAAGGTCAAAGGCGGAGAATCTTGTAACTTGATCTGTAGTTAAAGAGATGAGAAACAGACAAGTCTAAAAGAACAAAGACAGATAGAGCGAGAAAGGTTACGTGGCCTAGATTATCGTTAGCTGACGACATCTTCTTACCACACTGTCTGATCTTGTTCTACGGTATGTCAGATACGTTCAGAATGCTTTACCGTAGGACCTAGCTATGCATGTTGAATCAAACTACTAAGTCGCAGATCACGTAACCAGAAAGGAGATTCTGTGTTGGGCGACCGCTGGCGAAGCAGTTGAGCAGGGGTTCCGAGCAGTGCGACTGGATTTGGACATAGGCCTGACTATGTTAGCGTTTCTTGCGTCGAGAAAGATGATTAGGGGGATGCTAGAAGACATAATGACCTAATTATATACTGAGTAGATCATTGGACTTGACGGTGATGGCAGTGTTGGCGTTACCAATGGCAGATGGGCTAAAGGTCACTAAGTAAGTCGTGACGACAGGTACTGTAGCCTTGGCCTTGACGGCGGCGACGGTCCGTTGGAAAAGAAAACCCAATATCTCGAATATTTTCCTGTGGTAAGACACTAAGCCCTGCTTATCGGCGAAATCGATACTTGAGTGGATAGCGACGTTTGTAAGTCAATCCTTCTAAAGACCTGGTTCCTGACATCCAGAGCTGGCAATGAACCGCCCCAAAAGTGAAACAAGGATCATGTACTACCGAGCATCAAAGTAAAAGACCATTTTGCCCCGATCCTGGCGAACTATGACCACGCAGTGCGACAGGCAGAGGGGCACATAAGAGAGTACTTAGAGAGCCTTGATTTCTAGGTCAAGAAGCGGAGGCATTATGACAAGGGGGCTTGGCTGACTGTTCAATAAGCGAGCGATTCAGTGTATCTGACAGCTCCTATAGAAAGCGACAAGACGTGAGATCCGCCAATATCTCTCCCAACATAAAACCAACTTGTCATAACAAAGCGACGACAGCAAACATCCAGACACCATCATCATCTAGGCGAAAATAGCAGTAGGCATTGCTAAAGAGAGACTCCACTAAGCAGCCCTCGCCGTTGGCTAACAACAAGACCTCACCAGGACAATGTCTGATAAATGCAAGCTTTCATGCAAGCCCTTATCAAAGAAGCCCAAGAGTTGCTCCCGCAGTCGATCGGAACGAAAGAAAAGGCAGAATATAAGGCCAGAAAATGTCAAGACAATCTTCAAACACACTGGAGGCGGGTGGGTATGAGATGGCTTTACATTGGCAAGATATAAACAAGCATCGATCGCTGGGAGAAGAAAGTTTAGGCGGAGAAAGAGAAGCGTTATGAGCGAGCCATGCAGTCTATGCGTACTGGTCTATGGGAGCAGATTTTCAAGAAGGGGCTTAGTGAGAGTGCTGCGGTGAAAGCGAGAGGTCTGGATCAAGTTGATTAGTTCTGATGACTGCAGAGTGTAGGATTGGCGTGGCAGTCTGACTGAGACAGAGACGTGGACAGGATCAAGGATTCAAGGCGTGAGAGGGTGTCGGAATAGCGTTTTCTTATCTTCAGATATCACTACGTATAGAGGAAAAGCACTGATTTAATTATCCTAGAAGTGTATTTATATACTTTTCTCAAGTCAAGCTGTCAATTGGAACAGCTTACGAGATTGACTCAAACAGTGGCTTGCTGGCAAGTTTTACCAAGCGTTTAGATCTTAACATCACGGACGGCGGCTGCATCAGGATAACACGCTCTCAGGGACATGCGTTATTAGAATAGGGACTAGTTTAATATCCTGGGACTCCAGGCCAAGTGTTGGAAAGGTTGAACGGTGATTGACAAGGATCGTTACGAGTCGGTTGATGTTTTCAGTGAGGCTACTAGTGCAACAGACGGTGACCCCAAATTTTCTTAATATAATTCAGGTAATTGGAAGTTGGATTAAGATATTGCCTGCGCTTGCTAATTGCTATCTCTTGCTACAGGTTATCCTTATTAATAGATATTCCCATCGGTGCTTACCTTTCTAGTATAAAGGAGCAGCTAATGCATCTGATCTCAGAGAACGAGAATAATAAGATTGTATACAAGCTTCAGTTGAAGCCTACTGCTATCTTCAGGGAGTATGATGGCCTCGTGGGGTACTTTAAAGCCACTTTTTCTGATGGACTAAGACTCAGCCTTCTACTGGAGGGTTACCAACAACATTCAAGCGCCTTTTTTTCCTCCCTGGACGCGCCCAAGACGCCGACGCTCCCCCGCTACTTTGCTTTTAAATCCCGCCGATAGCGATGATTCATACATGGCTAATAGGCAGAATTGAGGGAAGGTAAGGGAGCTGGAAGCGACAGTGCAATTGGTTGCTGGGAAGGCGGTTTCTTAACAGAGTTGCGATATTAAAATAGGCGTTGCACTTAAGTATAACGGTTAAGGCGAAGATGCCGGGAGTCTTTCCCATAAGTACATGATTTCTCTACACTCACTATCACCAAGGCCATCAATCAGGAGGCACTTCAGTTAGTTATCTTTTGCTCAGCGAGTCCAGTCCCCAGCCTCGCGGCTTTCACAACCACCTGCAGAACGTCTGGAATGACTTTAATTGTGCCAGTCGATGATTGACCCAGAAATGATTCCCATTGAATCACACTGCGGTTTTTGATCCATGACATGCGCTCTGTGCTGTATGTCAACGGTATCAAAACTGCTGTGCCTAACGGTAGTTTCATGACTACTGCACAGCTCTACTAAGCTCTTTGACGAGAGGCCGCAGTGCCCCTGGACTACTAGCAGATTGGCTCTGTAGATGAATGGCCTCTGTGGGCCAGAAAAGACAGCCCTTCACACCACGCATGGCAGCGTCTATGGCGGCGCATTCAAGACGACGTAGCAGCGGTGATGGTCTTCTTAGCAATGCTGGGTGGCTGGGGGCCGATTGGGGAAATCGAGGCGAAAGACAGATTACGTAGCCCCCGGCTTCAAGGGTAGCGTTGCCGATGTATGGAGTTAAGATAAATAGATGTGCGGCCTGATACCGCCCCTGTCGCAGGCCAGAAGCTCAATCACTTCTCCCCAAGGAACCCTTAATGTTTTCGGTAATTCATCGACGTTAATACCTTTGGTATGGTCTACTTCATAAACAGGTATTAGGAATTACGAAGTGGCTACAGTCACCTCTCGGAAATCCCGGATACCGGGCTGGGGTCTGAAACAACCGCAATCTTGGACCAAATACCTTACCGCCCTGCGGCATGAAGCTTCTCCCCACTCACTATCTCTGAACAACCTTCCAATCCTCGTTAAAACGGCTTTTGGCGCAACATCTTATAAATCCAATGGTACTCCGTAGATCAAGAAGCTTTTGCGGATCGTTTCTATCGGTGCCAGAATTCTCACTATCAGAAGACTATTTCAACCTTGGATTCTCACATGCCTCCTGTATCCACAATCTCCATATATAATCTCACTCACTGTTTAAAGGGAACGCCAGAATGGAACGACAAGGACTAATGCCGAAAGAACTGTGCCGTTATATGCCTCGATAGCCTGCGCACGATGACACAAGCTAACAGGAGTGTTGCAAAAGCTAATTACAGTAAATAAGATTAGCAGATCATAATACGCAATTGTGGACTGATTTGGCCTTTCCTGGCTTACTGATGTTACTTCTTGTCTATTGCTGAAATTACATTACGTAGGCCGTGACGCTACGGGAACAAGTTCTAAGTTCGGACTCCTCGGGACATGAGCTAACAGGTATGCTATTTATAGAATATACTGCCCATAGCCCCGGTTGTTCTAGAAGTACCGTACTCCGTAGCTTTAAGACTAATGAACTAGAGTTCTAGAGTCTATTCTGCCTAAAAGAGGGAAAAAGCAAAGACTCTAAATACGAGCTAAGTGGAACAGTTCTAACTAGACCCGCTACCCTGTCTCGTATTCCCCAGTCATACAGTAAATAGGTATTCCAGGTATAGCGGCATAAATAATTATAGGATAAATATTAATGCCTATAAATACTATTCCTTTAAGCTTCTAGAATTCTTCCTTATATACAACCTACACTCGCTTTAAACAGTAAACCTCAATATACTGTTACTCAATCCATTCTACTACTAGACTATCAAGATGCATTTCTCTACTATCTTCACTACTATTGTCGCCGCTGGCATGGCTTCTGCCGCCTCTGACAAAATCGTTGAGGTCACTGAATACAACGCCGTTGCCCTCCACGGCAACAAAGAAACCAACAACGCCGCTCTCCAAGCCTCTAACGGTCGCTTCGCCCTCAAGCTCAAGAACCAGCACGCCGCTTGCAACCGCGGCGTGACTGAGAACGAGGTCACATTCAACATCAACAAAGACGGCGAGCTCAGCCTCTACACCTGGGGTAACAACCCCCAGGTCGCATACGTCGACCGCTCCGGCATGGGCCAGGGCATCCTCGCTTATGCCACCTACGGAGATAAGGGCTTCAACTACCCCAAGAACGCCGAGACCAAGGGCTGGAAGGTCGCTAAGAACGGAGATCTCACTTTCGGTGGTAAGGGTTTCCTCGCTTGCCCTAACAGTAAGAAGGCTGGCGGCTCTTACACCCTCTGGGCCGATGTTGGCATTAAGAACCCTGGTGGCAACAAGAATTGTCAGGCTATTACTGTACGCGCTACTAAGGACAAGAACCCCGTTTCCTGTGTCTACTCTGCCTAAGTTTAATAAAGAGATCATTTCTTAGATACTATTAAAAACCATTTATTTTTTATAAGCCTATTACTTATATTCTTTAGAAATATACTTTCTCTCTGTTTATATATACTCTTACTATAGAAAAAGGCTAGCGCAATAGACCTGTTTTACCCCCCTCTTCCGCCACTGACTCGCAGCGTAATACAAGCAGCGATAGTCCTCAGAGTAAATACTTATATTGACTTTGACGTACTTATCAGAAGCTCATATATTCTTGAGGACGGTCTCAGAAGGTTCCAATTTCCGCGCTTCGTAGACTTGCGTATCGATCTCAACTCAACTGGCAAGCAAACCTATTGCCATGCCATTTTGGCTGACTCTCGGTATCTGGTCGTGACTACACGGCGGGGCGGAAGACTTGAAGATCACTTGGAATAGCGGGTGGCAGTGGAATATCCCTGACGAACAACCTGATTTCAATGAAATCTACGGCCATATTGCTGCAGTGTTACTAGGAAAAGTGCTCATGATCTACGGTGGGTGGGAGTCTTCAGTCTCTTCCTCACGTGGAGTCAAGCATCACGCCTCATCTCGAATACGAGATGGGGAAAGCTCTTGCCTTATCGTCAATCGCTAAGCTATCTAAGCTCAGGTAAATTGCCTGCTTGCCTTTCGTGACGAGTTACTTCTAAGAGCAGAAATTTGAACAAGAACCAATTTTCCAGTCCTCAGTGCCTGGACCGCAAGTATCGCCGCCGCCGTCCTCACGGACTGCCTCTCGGCAATCGACCACCAGCTTGGTGCTGTTCGGTCGTGCCAAGAGTGGGATATCGACACCTGATCCAGGATGATATCCGGCCATTGCTACTTACTATATTAAGTTAAAACTAACTCGGCTATTGTTAATCATTGATCGTAACATATATAATGTTCTTAAACGCAATTCCTCTCCCTTCTTCTCTCTAAATTAGATCGCCGAGTAACTTAGCCCAACTCGTCCGTTTCTACGCATCACTAGACTGTGATCATTGCTCACATCAGACAAGCGTTAGGGTTAGTACTGGGTGCTATACTTGCTTGCCTTGGCATGTCGCTGGAGTGTAGGGTGAGCAGCAAAATGTACATGACATTGCCCGCACGCGTATGGACATTAGTCCTAATTCTCGCCGTGCTTCTTTCTAGCACTCTTCGGACCAGGAGCAGGGTAGTACATAACTTATGGGAAGAGGGACTTGACTGAGCTTCCGGCGCCGTGTTGGGAACCGTAACTGACTGATATCGGAAGAGGCTAATGGCAAATCTCTCAGCCTTAGGCGATGTTTGCTCAGTTTCACTGGATCAGGCATTATATCAGTCTCGGGATGATCCGAATACTACGAAGTGAAGAAAGTAGAACATCTGGGTTCCTCCTTATGCTGAAGTTCCGCACCCTCAGGTATCTCATGACCCTTCCTCCAGACTTGATTGATACGAGATACTGCGAGTTTCCTTTGTTAGTGGCTTTCAGGGCGCAATGACCACGCTTGGAGCGAAAACCGCGGAATAAGAACGTTGTCGCATCTCAACACCTCATCAAGACCCATCGCCGGGTATTGTGTTAGTTGTACGGCTCGCTTCACAGATGCTATCAACGATCATGAATGCCCTTTGATCCCGTCGACGAACCCAGGAAGATCTAGAGATCTCTAAAACGAACTGCCATATCACCTGTAAGTTGGACAGTATCCCAATACAAACGCCCGATAACAACAGTAAACCCAAACTTAATCACAACTGAGATTGACAAATATCCATTCAGTAAGATGTACCACCAATATCTCGACCCATTTTCCGCACCAAGAGCGGTACTCACCCTATGCTCGCGAACGGGCGCTGAAAACGATAGGCGTGGCGAGTCTGTCGAAGGCTCATGGACAGACGCTGGCCCAACTATCCCTCAAGTCAACAAACCTTATGATTTCGAGAAGCCAGTAGCCAACCAGGCACTGCCAAGCTATCAATTCCAGTCATTCAACATTCTTCATCTCATCTTCCCTGCCTCGAAGGTCTATTTTTATTCCTCTCAATATCTTGAGCCTTGGTAGCTAGCTAAGAAACGAGTGTTTCCATCTGCTGCTCAGTGTATTTTCTGCGCTCTGTCTGACGAGTTGAAAATTCTCTTGCCTGATAGTTGGAAGCCATGGAGCATAAACAGCTTCATTATCTCTTACACTTGTACGGCCTTTCTTAAGCGCGTTGACACAGTATTGGGGGCAATTACTCTTCCTGGTTGTGGCTACCCACGTGCAGCTATCTTTAATCTCGCTGCCCCCTATAGGTCTGGCGATACAGCTTTGACAAGGAGTACCATGCTAAGTTAACTAATGTATAGTGGTCATCGTATTACTGAAAGAGATTTGTCAGATACCCATGTGATCCAATTCCTGTTGAAGCTTTGATGATGCCTGCTGTGAGGCTGGCGGCAAGCAACCTCATTTTCTTGTGTTCTCGGTCTCCAATGAGAGCTGGTGGCACCGACCGGCTGAGTGACATGGTCAAGAACACAGTCTCTCCCATAATATAAACCCTGAGAAGGCCACGGTCTGCGTTCCAGTTCAATGTGTTTGAAATGAGAAGCGCCTGAGTGTGGTTATTGGTTCACGAAAACAGTGGCATTATTACTAGCTGAGCTTCTTTTCCTAGAGACTATGATATTGTTGAGTATAATATTGAAGGATAGTCAAGCTTTCCCCTATGCTGCAGAGGTGTGAACGCTTTGCAAGATGCTTTATAGTTAGTAATCCTTGTGGCATTGCTGAGGAAGACACTATTGCGTCTGAACACAACGTCATGTTGTTGTTAATGATTGATAGGAAAGCCCGTGTTTGTGGTAAAAGGGTGAATACCACGAGGGTATGATGACTATGATGGTATATCCGCCAACGATTGGGATGGTGGTGTTGGATATGAGACTACCTATCGCGGGGTCCTTGATCATGGCAGAATACCTAATGGCAAAGGGAGGCCTGGCACACTATTCCTTGTCGTCATAGTTGAATGGACGTGGTTTCTGGGCAGGACCGGAACGAGAGCTTGCTAGACGGGTACTAAGTTTTGTAGAAGCGCTGAGTGTTGGGATGTCGAGGAGGAGTGATATTGGTGATGCATGATCCTGAAGGAAAATGACTACGGGCGCGGGGTGGCGTTGTGGTTACCGGCCGACGCACCAGGAAGATACCTAAACGATGAGATTGTATTGGGGAAGACTCGCCAATTTCGCCAGGCGCCAAACCCAGCAACGTGACAAGCACCGGCGTACACGCAATGCTGGGTATGGAGTCTTGTTAGCTGCCTGGACTAACCTCGGCTATCCGCCCCGGACAATTTGATCTGACCCAATTCCGTGTAAGCATCCTTCATGCAGCCGAAATACCCGAAGCTACCATGCAATCGTTGCACCTCTTCCTCCTCTTCCTCCTGGGGCTCTTCTTGGGGTTGTTGCTGGCTTTGCGTTTAATGAATGTGATGTTATTTGATGCGCCTGCTGTAATGACTCAACACATTCGTCTTCGTCTATCGGAGCTGCTTCTTCAGTGTGCTCCTCTTCTACCATCATCTCTAGATCCTCTGTCCTCAAATCCTTATGGATATCAAAGTGCTCTTCGACATGCTGATGCCAAAGGGAATTGACCCGCCCGTACTCCATCATCCTGCTTCGCCAAGAGAAAGGGGGGTGGCAGTGCATTTAGCAGCAGGTGTTATCGGATGAGGACAATCCAACACCCTGGCCTTGGCCGACTTGCACGCTGGGCTTCGTGTTGTTGGCTGCTGTGGTGCCCATGCGCTCAATGATCTGGCGGGCCATGGGTTCACACCCCTATCAAAACGTTTTTATCTTCACTCTCACCCTCCAACCAAAAATACTATTTATCCTCTCTACTCTCTTCGTTCCCTTCCCACTCTCCATCTATAGCGTCTCTTCTGAGGCATAGAAGCGCTTGGTGGCGACATAGCAGGTTCAGAGACCTGACGTATTGAAGAAGTAAGACAAATCGGCCGAAATATCATCCGGGAGCATCACGGTGGAGGAGAAGTCGGTTGGGCTGTCATCGGGGATCGGAGGCCTGACGTACATCCTCGAAATAGCTCATCTCCGATCGCTACCCCTGCGTACTACAGGCCCAGGTGATATTATACGCGAGCATAGCCACACCCTCGATCCAATTCGAACAAGAGCCGGAACTTTCTTGACTAATAACGCTAGCAAGTTGTCGACAAAAATATCCTGGACGCGAGACATATTGGGAGTCCGTGTTGCCGGGGAATCACACCCTTGATGAAGTACGAAAAGGTGGTCGGATCTTGTTCAAAGAGGTGAGGGCTTCTCGCCGCAGTCTCGTTCTCCTGCCTGTTCCAGGCGGTGACTCATTCTGGTTACACCGTTTGGCAACGGGGCTTGTCGGCCGGTGACGATGACTTTGCAGGTGATGGTCCTGGGCATTCGTTGCTGTCTGGCAAGGAGGTCAGTGACGGAAGAGGGTAGTGGAAAGACAGCTGTTGGAGAATAACTTACCCTTTTCACAGACTCCGAGCAATTCCCTTGGACCAAAGCTGGGAGTCTTACGGATGCTGGAATGGGAGACGTGTTAGGCCATGAAGCGTAAGCAGTTGCGGCGAAAGACTCATGCTGAGCACTTGAGCGGGTGCGGCGCTGGCCACTGTTGTGGAATGGCTGGTCTGGTCTTGCTGGGGGGAGGCGGATTAGAAGCATCCTCATCGAAAGTATCTGCCTCAAATTGGTCCGGTTTATTGGTTTGTAGGTGTAAGATTCCTGAAACTTCCGTAGGCTCACGACAAGCTGACGTTGTATTGCTGTGATTGTCTGTACCGTGAAAGACAGCACATGCTTTGGCTCAGAAAGCGATATCATGGGTATCGACTGGTTCAGCGACCGGTGAGGTACGAAGCGCAGAGGCTAGCGTAACTGACATCATCAAAGAAGGGGCGATTAGCGGTTCTTCGAATCAAAGGCACGCGAGCTCTTT